AGATAGATAGATAAGATAGATAAATAGATACATAGATAGATGGATAGATAGATGGAAGAGATGGATGGATGGATAGATAGATAGAAGAGATAGAAAGAAGATGGAAATATAGTCTGATTGATTTATAGAAGATAGATACATAGGTAGATAATGGATAGATAAATAGATAATATATACATACATAGAGATAGATGATACATAGATGGTTGATAGATGATAAATAGATAATAGATAAATGATAGATACATATATCCATAGATGATGGATACATAGTAGATATAGGTGGATCATAGATACATAGATATATGGATGATGTACATATAGATAAACAGATTATAGACATAGATAGATGGTGCATCCATAGATACAGAGATGATAGATAAATAAAAATAGACAGACACAGGTAGATAAAAATTATATAGGTACATAGATGGTGGGTATGTAGATAATAGATACATAGATATATAGATGATGGATCAATAAACTGATAATAGATAACTAGATGAATATGAGACATAGACACATAGGTGACAGATAGATAGAATGGATGAGATAAAGTGGACAGACAGAGTGGGTAGATGGAAGACAGACAGATATAGACAGGATGGGTAGATAGATATTACAGATAGATAGCTAGGCAGTTCACAGAGGATAGAAATATCATGCTCAGACAGGGCCATCAGCATTGCTGACATGTGGGGCTCCGTGATTGTTGATTGGATAGATGGATGATAAACAGATTGATAATAGATTGAAGGGTAGACGGATACACAGATGTCAGGGCAGGCTGTCTCATGCAAGGCTTCTCAGCCTCAGCACTTAATTCTGGACTCGGTGGTGGGGCGTCCTGACCACTGTGGGGTGCGGCAGCATCCCTGGGGCCCACCCACCAGACACCAGCAGCAAGTAACTACCCGCCCCCCAACCAGTGTGAGAACCAAAAACGTCTCCAGATGTGGCCACATGTTCCCTGGGAGAATCTCACTATGAATCTCACTATGTTGGATGACACTGTGTTAGATGTCATCCCTGGTTGGATGACAGTGTATTAGACCCCTGTCCTGTGTATGAATGCAGAAACTCACATCCTGGGAGGTAACCCCATGGTGGAGGCGTACAGAATTCCCCTGATAGCCACAACCCAGTGCAATTTTACCTAGAAAAATTATAGTAAAAACACAAACAGCTCTCCTGGCAGCAAAAACATCACAAAAGAAGATATAGCCCTGAGAGGGGAGACCCAAGGTCTACAGACAGATAACAGGTGAACAGACATATCTGGATGATGGTTGAAAATGAGTTTCATATTTTTTGTTGTTGTTGAACATGGTAGAATATTCTAGCTGGTTGAATAACAATACTGCAAAAAGTCACGTCCACCTAGAATCTGAGATGTGGTTTTATTTGGAAATAAGGTGTCTGCAGATATAATTAAGTGAAGGATCCGAAGATGAGACCATCCTGGATTAGGGATGGTCCTAAACCCAGTGACAGGTGTCCCCCTGAGAGACAGCAGAGGAGACACAGACACAGAGGAGAAGCCGTGTGGAGATGGAGGCAGAGACTGGAGTGATGTGGCCACAAGCCCAGGGCCACCTGGAGCCTCAAGGAGCTGGGAGAGGCAGTAAGGAGCCTCCCCTGGGGCCTCCAGAAGGAACTGGATACATCATAATGGGTTGAATGGTGACCCCAAAATATATATTCAAGACTTATCATCAGGAACCTACAAGTAGAACATAATTTGGCAATAGGGTCTCTGCAGATGTAATTAAGTGAAGGATCCCAAGATGAGACCATCCTGGGTCATGGATTAGGGAGGGCATCAAACCCAGTGAC